GTCTTCCCATGCCATCAGGGTTCTGAACCTGAAGTCACAATGCAAAGGAACAACAGTGCAGCTTTCAAGAGCCTGAGAGGTGAGATGGGTGACGCCTTTGACGTGCGAGGAAAGCTCCTAGGCTCCTCATTTGCTTTTCACTCACAAGTGAAACAACTCCTCCCTAGTCAGGAAGATCCCATATGTCAAAGTATCTGATATAAAAACTAGAAGATGTCAGTAAAATTACATAGACTTGTTTGCAAAGTGTACCACATTTGTAGAACTGGAGTCAACCCTACTTAGTCATAATGTATATAATTCCCATCAAATAACTAGATTCCATTTACCAATGTAATGTGAAGGAATTTTCATCTGCCCTCACAGAGAATAGCAGTCTGTAATTTGATTTGTTAGTATTATTCTTGTCTTGTTTTGACATGAGCTTCATAAGGGAATTGGGACATGTTCCTTTATTTTCTGGAAGAGATTGTATGAAATTGGATTTTTCTGATGAAACCATGTAAGTCAAAGAATTATTTCTATTACAATATTAATTTTCTTAGTAATTAGAGGGCTTTTAGAATTACCTGTTTCCTGAGGAGTTGTGGCAGTTTGAAATTCAAGTGATTCCTGTCCTCTAGGCTGTCAAGTCCCCATGTAAGGCTGTAACTTTGTCCCCTGACTGTCCTTTTGAAGCTGACAAAGTGACAGGCTTAGTTTTGTTACTAACATTGGTATTTTATGATATCCCTTTTTGTAAGTCTTGATAAAAGCCTGGAAATTTTTATTTACTTCACAAAGAACCACCTCTTGGTTTCATTGATTTTCTTGAGCATTTCTCCATTTTAAATGCCATTGATTTCCACTCTTTTTTTTTCATTGTTTCTTTTCTTCTTCTTGCTGTGGCTTTCTTTTCTTCTCCAAACTCAGGTGGGCTTCACTTCATTGATTGAGGCTATTCTTCTGATGCTGAATGAACATTTGGTATTGCAGATTTTTCCTTTGGCACTAGGTTAGCCGTGTCCTGTGCTCTATTTTCATTTTCATTCAGTTACATATATTTTTATATTTTTTCTTGAGACATTCTTTAATTCATCCATGAGTTATTTAGAATTGAGTGGTTTTGTTTCCAATTCTCTGAGATTTTTCTGTTTTCTGACTTGATCCATTTTCAGTTCTGAATAGTTTTTTCTGACTGCTTTTATTTGGCTTTAGTTTATATTTTGTGGCCTGGGTTGCTTTGTCTTGTTGTATGCCCCAAGGATGTGTATAAAGAAAGTGTAGTCTCGTGTTGGGTGGAATAGTTTATAAATATATGAACATAAGTTGCCAGTGGGGAAGGTCAAGAAGCTATCATTAATGATGCAAGTTTGAGGGGAGACCTTGCTCTCCAGATGGAATCTGCTGACATCATAGGCATGAATGAAAGGTTAGCTGCTAACATTGGGGTGGCAGTTCTGGACCTTCCCTGGGCCTATCCCAGCATGCTCCACACAGGGATGTCCCTTATTTAGCTTTACCCTCACTTGAGTGGCAGTTTATGCTGCCTTTGCTAGTGTTGTAAGGGAGGGACACAGGCAACCCTCAGGTGACAGGAGGCAGAAAAAGACTCTGGCAACTCAACATTTAAGATAAGTTCAGTTTAGACAGTGTAGCCCGATGTTTGGCCCAGTGTTTGGCATAATGGGCACTCATAAGTATGTGCTAAAATGAAGCAGGACAAGGAATGCACTAACTGGATCAAGGCCAGTCAATTTGAGATCTGTTCCAGCCCATAAGGCATGCACCTCCATGAAGCCCCTTAGGTTTGTGGGAGATGCCTGAGTGATGACTGCTTGTCCTTTTCCTGCAGTTCACTGTGTGGTCAGTCAAGGGTGCCGCACCAGCAGACGCTAACTCTGAGAAGCTTGATTTGTTTGTCATTTCTCTCATCATCACTGCGCTGGGACAGAATTTCCACCAGGACATCATGGGAGGAAGAATTTGTGTCATTAGTAGTTTCAGAGAAACTGTTTGTGGGGTGAGAAAGGCTTAGTGGCTTAAGTAGCTTGGTCTGTGGTGGCCAAAGATTGGCAGATCAGGAAGCATAGACCAAAGCAGAAGTAGGGTTGGCACATAGACTTCAAAGGCCCATTCCTAACATTCGACTTACAGATCCACAACCTCCCAATACATCCCTACAACCTGGGGGACCAAGCACTCAAATCATGAGAACATTCCAGAATCAAATTATACAGTGGGTTTCCTAAATTCAATATTTCCCTCTGCGTGCTAGTGTGCAAGTGTGTGCCTGCACATGCACACAGACACACACACATGCATACAAGTTAACACACAGCCAGACTTTGCCAAAACATTTGCACATGGTCATTGTCAAGCTGGAAGACCCCCTCATTTGAAGTTTATGAGAGGGACCTGAAGAAAAACAACCCTGTTTCTACTTGAACCCAAGCCCAGGTTCGTGTGCTTTTGTTTGCCTATTTTCCCAGGTTGACCTGAATGAGGGCAATGAAAGCCTGCACATTCTCTGACAGAATCATGAACCTGAGCCAAGCTAGAGAGAACTTAGAGTTGCTGCAAGGAGCGATTCTTTTCAACCTCTCCTGCTATAAACAGAGGATGTGTTTGGTATCATTGATGGCTGAGTTTTCATAAGTGTCTCTAGGTGTTTTTAAAGGTTAATATTGTCATTGTAACTTTTTCCTACAGTATCTTGAATATTTCTCAGCATTTTCTTCCCCATTACTAACCTAAAATATAGAATAGAAAGACTACCAATAGAAATATACATGTTCTTATTAGTTCCAGTAAAAAACAAAGAGACAACAAAGCCTGAGTTATATGAGTAAATACATCACTCCTGTTCTTTTTCTGTAGCCTCTCTGAGTTCATTCACAATGGATGGAAAGGACCAAAAAGAGTGAAACTGAGGTTTTGCCTCTGTTACAAGGGAGAGTTTTGTAGGGTGACCTCTTGTTTTTTTGTTTTGTTTTGTTTTTTGTTTTTGTTTTTTGTTTTTTGTTTTTATGAGACAGGGTTTCTCTGTATTGTTTTGGAGGCTTTCGGTCCAGCCTGGCCTCGAACTCACAGAGATCCGCCTGCCTCTGCCTCCCGAGTGCTGGGATTAAAGGCGTGCGCCACCACCGCCCAGCGACCTCTTGTTTTTAAGGATTGGAAAAACACAGTTCAGTCTTGAACTAGACATAAAAAAGAGAGCATTGGGTTAGGCGGGTAGCTTGTTGGTACAGTGCCAACTCCAACTGCCACCATCACACACACGAAAACCCAGCTTATTGAAAACTTTGGCTTTTTGGGAAACAGATGTAATAGTAAGATCACCACTGTTCATAAACGTCCTTGGGAGACAAACATCCAGCCTCCCTAGACAGACTAAAGAAACAATTCTACTCAAGTCCAGCTTGATGAGTGAGGGTGACCATGGGCTGCTCCTACACTGAAAGGAACTACCCTCACTGAGATCAACGGGCACTGGAAGGTAGCCAGGCCTCCTTGTAGGGCACTGCCTCCCTCTCACTCTCCTTGATATAAGGAGAATGGGCCAAAATTTTGTGAGATCTTCTTTAATGCCATGTGGGTGGAGAGTTCAAGAGGGCAACAGCCATGTCATGTCTGGAGAACATCACACTCAGTGGCAAATACTTAAGTTAGTGTAGATGATTGATCAATTCCTATATTTATTTGGTGTTGGTTCCATTGAGTTTTAAAAATCAAGATAAATAAAATGAATACATAAACTGAAATTGTTTAGTTTAGCCTTTCAAATATTTCATTATTTCCTCTTTTGTAAAATGTCTAGCTTGATGTAAAAGTTATTTTTAAGATTTTCAAATGTCAGCCCTTAAGCTGAGTTCCATATTCTTTCATTGAAACTAGGTCTCCTCGTGGCAGATGCCTAGGGATCCTGTAGATGCAGAGAGTTCTGGGAAAAGTTAGTGGTCCTCTTTCCTTGTTATTATACTAAAAGAAAGCAAGACATGGCGTTTCATGCACCCACAGAGAGTGCACACTGTCTGAACTGCTAACTGCCCTGCTTCTTCTTGTCTTGCTAACAAATTACAGGATGCTTGTTGCAATGAACCAGATTGACAGCATGCTTGGTGATACAAATAGCTTTTATGTATTGCTTCTTTTCCTATTCCATTAGCAGTGGCAAACCAAGTCTGCTGAAACCACACATCAGGACTTCCTGGCCAAGATTCCTCCTCCTGTGGATCTCAAACCTCAGAGCAGTTTACCGGCTTGCAAAGCACAGCTTATGTTCTGGTCTGGACTCCAAGCTAAGAGCTATTTTGAAAATGCTCTTAAGGGCCTGATATTTCCAAACTGTGCTGATCTGCAGAGGAAGGAGCTCTTCTTCAGTTAGGGTGGTCAAGTAGCCCTCCACCAGCATTATCTTTTCTCTGGGATCTGCTGTGTGCTTCCAGGGTGGAGTGGACAGACAGCATAGAGAGGAAGCCACAGCACCTGTGGTCAGACCAGGGTCAGTTCAGAGAATCTCAGCTCATAAAATCCTTCAGGGTCCTTTTTCAGTCTTGTCCCTGTGCAACCTGTTCAACTCACCTACAAAGTTCAAGTTCTGGGCTATTGTCAAGGTGACACCATATCTTGGCGAGAAAAGGAAAGGAGAGCAGAGAGTGCGAGCTGTACTCAGGCCTTCAGGAACAGAAATGTGCTTACCCAATGCCTTGAAAGTTTCTCACTCCCAGTGATCTGGGTCTCACATACCACCTAGATCAACCAGTCATTGCCATTTGGGAAGACTAACCTGACCTATGCACAATTTTTCAGGCTGTGGAGTGAAAGGAAGAGGAAGAATACAAGAGGATAGCAGGGGAAGGTAGCCAGTGAGGAGCTGAGTGTTTGAGTTCTTTCTTTACCTGCAAGAGGGAAGCTTCTGCCAGAGGAGCAGGCCATCCCCTGCATTTCCATGCTACTGTCTCCTTGCCTAGAGTGTTGGTAACTGATGTGGTCTCTTGCTCTCTGTATTTCGTTCTCAGGACAGCTTTCCTGCCCGCTTTGGAGGTGTCCATTTTGTCAACCAGCCCTGGTACATCCATGCCCTGTACACACTCATCAAGCCATTCCTTAAAGACAAGACAAGAAATCGGGTAACGAGAAAAACATGTCTTTTAACTTCTGAATGGGGGAGAGAGGGTTGCCAGCGTGTTGGTGACAAGGACAGTGCTATTCTGCATGTGCATCCTCCTCCTAGTGCTTGCCATGGTTTTTGCAGCTTTTGAACATTTGCACCTTAGCAGGAGTTTGCAAATTCAGCATAATGGGTTATTTTCCGAGCACCAGACAAAACAAAAGAAACTTTGAAGCAAGCAAATACCAGATGCCAGTTTCACTGCAGATGCTGGTGGGAGTAGTGCCTGAACCCTCTTCCTGCTCCCATTTGATTCTTTTGTTTTTGTTTTTGTGGAGTATGTTTGTTTCTTTGTGGGGGAATTTTATCATGTAGCCCAGGCTAGCCTCAATTTCTTTTTTTAAGATTTATTTATTTTCATTTTGTTTAAATGAGTGCTTTGCCTGCATGTGTGCATATGTACCACATGCATGCAGTGAATATGAAGGAAAAGAGAAGATATCTGATACCATGGGACTGGAGTTAGACAATTGTGAGCTGCCATGTCGGAGTTGGCAAACGAACCTAGGTCCCTTGCAGTAACAACAGGTGCTCTTTACTGCTGAGCCATTTCTCCAGCCCTTAGCCTCAAATTCTTAATCCTCTTGCTTCGAAGTCTAGAGTTCTGGGATTATAGACATTCACACAGTTGCTGCTTCTTGTTTATGGACTATGTCAGTAGCTGGCATTTTGTCCTGTATCATCACTATGAAAAATGGTTCTTTATATATTTTTCTCCCTTGGCCCTTGGATGGCAACAGCCAGATCCATCATTTGTAAGGCCGAAAACATTGTTCATTGGATGTAATAATGTCTAAAGGGAGGTTTGAAATAATAATGACATCAGTCAACATTTGAGAAGCCTGTCCCTTTCATCAGAGCAGGGCTGGCATGGCATTCTATTCAGCTGAGTAACAAGCCTCCATTAGCTACTCTGAATCTCACTGTCCTCATTTATTATGTGGGAAACTCACTCCTACACCACAGACTTTTTGGAGCAATTTAATGAGGCAGCATATGAAAACATACAGCATAATGCCATTCACATACCAGACACTTGGCGATTTCATTCCTTTTTGCCTTTATCTCTTTCCCCACTAGTTTTACTAAAACATATTTGACAAGTAAACATTGTATGTGTTTAAGGAATGCAATGGGGCAATTTAATATATAAATACATTGTATCATGATAACCACAATTATAATTAGATACTCATTATCTTGCATAGTTATGTGACTGATGATAGGAAATAGAATGAACATACACACACACACACACACACACACACACACACACACACACACACACACACAGGTTCCAAATTCCTAAGCCTTGGATGTTTCTTGTTTTTTGGAGAACATTATAGTGGACTATGGGCAAAGGGCAAGTTCCAGTTTCCAAACAGACAGAACTTAGAACTAAACATCACCAGCATCAAGAAGCAAGGACCTTTTGAGACATTCTATAGAAGAACCATGTGTCTGGTATCGTTTGTAACATTACTTCAGGCATCCCAGAACCTGCATCATCTACCTAGAATGAGGACAGTGGAAATTCCTCCCAGAGTGGACACTGTCTGTTGAATCAGAGCAGGGAGTTTTGGAGCTCTTGACCCAGGACAAGCGTGCCCAGCCTCCTACCTCTGCTGTACAATCAGTAGGGATGCAGTACATTCCTCTCTGTCCCACTGTACAATCAGTATGGATCCATTAAGAGTAATCTTCAGCAGCATGCCCTGTCCTTTAAGAACAGAGTATGTGGGGTATGTGAACACAAAGCTGAATGTAAACCCCAGGGACAGGACTTACTTCTAAAACCCCAGCATCTACTACAGAGTTTAATAAAAGCCAGAATATTAGTTTATTCACAACAAATCGTTTTTATTAACTTTCAGTCATATCCAAATGCAATGTCAGAAATGCTCATTGCCTTCCCAGGCACTGCAGCATCCGGCAGAGCACCATGCTTACCTTCTTTTCCCTTTGTCTTTACATGATGCTATTTACAGGGCAGAGTAAAATGAAGAGAATGGGGTAACAGGAGTTTGTTGCTGACATCCGAATGTGGGTGTTTTAAAACTCACATTTAAATGTCACCGTTATCAGCTGTGCCATGAATGTCCAAGCATATAATTGATGGTGTTCTATTTGAGTACCACTTCCTCCATGTAGCTAATTGTGTGGAACTTATGCATTAGATGTAATTACTTCATGCCTGCAATGCGTCTAGGAACCAGTGTCACTACAGATGTACTTTACATAAACTTGCAAGGTCAATTTCTAAATGAAAATTATCTACTTATCACATGCCACTTGTTGATTCATCTAAAAATAGCTAAAACGTGAAGTTCCCCCACCCCCTATTTTGGCCACTTTAGATCGTTATACACGTTGTGCTCAGAAAACACAAACTTGTTTGGGTATCAGGACTCTATGCAGACAAGAAGGAAAAACTGCCCCAAAGAACTTCTTACAACACATTCTCAGGTCATACTTCTACACTTAACAGGAACCGATTGAGCATCTATCTAGTGCATGCACAACATCTTGGGAACTACACGGTATGTTATAAAATATCATCTCTCTCCCTAAGACCCAAGGGAACACATTGGAACAGAGCCAGCAGCCATCAGATACATAGGAGTATATGGGAGGAAGGGCATGGAGAATCAGTGTGCCTAGGGCCTGGGACTGATTTAGGCAGGAAAAGCAGAATGGGCAAGGGTCCAGGACCTCTATAGGGAGAGACCTATTTGGAGGGGCCTGAGAAGATGGTAGAACTGGAGAGGTTCTGGGGGCCAGAGCTCAGGGCATTCAAAGCATGAGCAGCCTTGGAGCATTTGGCACCACTTCCCCATTCTCCAGAGTAACTAGGAAATGACTGTGTGTACAAATTTGAGTGGTGGCCAAATAATGTCCACTCTATTCTTAAACCTCATTTGTTAAAACAATGGCTGATTTTCTAAGCAATCAAATAGACTTTTATGATAACCAAGTCATGGGCACAAAATAAATTGCCTCCTTGAACATCATGGTCACTAAAGACACATACAATTTGTCTTTGCTAAATTGTGTATTAGACTAAATACTTGTCGTATTTTAAATTTTTATGTTGGTTATTTTTTCCTTTCCAGATTTTCCTACATGGAAACAATTTGAACAGCCTTCACCAGCTAATACACCCTGAGTTTCTTCCCTCTGAATTTGGAGGAACCCTTCCTCCTTATGACATGGGGACTTGGGCCCGGACATTACTTGGTCCTGACTACAATGATGAAAATGACTATACCCACACTTCTTATAATGCCATGCACGTGAAACACACCTGTTCCAACCTAGAGAGAGAATGCTCACCCAAGCCCATGAAAAGGTAAGGCTTTCCAAAGGCCATGAAAAGACTGCTATAGATCTACCATCACTTAAGAAATTGAAAACTTTGCAGACCCAGAATTGAATAAAATTATTTTCATTAGAGATTATAGCAAATGGACCTCAGCTGACCCAGAAATGCAGTTGTCTCTTTTATACAATTTGAGGGAAGAACTTTGTGCCCTGATTGCAGCCTGCCTATTAAAGATACTCAGATGGAATGGTAGATCTTTGGGACACTCTAATGGCAAAACAACCAAGTCAAGAAATGCCTATTATTCATCTCTTTGAAACCAAAGGAGCATTATTTGACTGTAGCACCATTAGGCATTAATGGTCATCAATATAAATAAGCTGATGATGAGGGAGTGCCTAGAAAACACACCACGAAAGACTTTTGTGCATGCTGGCACTTGGGCTGCTCTCAGATTGAAGGTAGAAACTCTGGAGTTAAAAGGGAACTGGTGTGTCAAGCATGAGAGATGGACAGAGGAACAAAGTCTTACAAAGGTGGATGGTACTGTGATGCAGGCTTGCAAGTGTAAGGGGGGCATGGGCATGGAGTAAATCCACAGAGGGAGCTGGACTTGGCTGTGAAGTGTGCTGCATGCATGCTCAGGACAGTGCCATGGAAGAAGGTTGCTTTCGGTCTCTCTCTCTCTCTCTCTCTCTCTCTCTCTCTCTCTCTCTCTCTCTCTCTCTCTCCATCCCTCCCTCTCTCTTTCTCTCCCTCCCCCTCCATAGATCCCTCCTTTCATTCTTTCCTTGACCACTTGTAATTTTTTTGATATTTCTGGATGGAATCTGGGCTTTGTTCATGCTAGTTCACACAGCCTAATATTGATCTACATCCCCAAGCTGAAGGTGGCTTTTTTAATTTGCTAGACAGATGATCCTAGTACACTCTCAACCACTAGCTTTTAAGGCTAAGATCCCCTTGAGTCACCATCTCAATCCCCACTCCCATCTCTCTCCATATGTGACCACCATAGCAGTTTTGTGGGCTATATGCATTTGTGCTCACACCGTGGTGTTTTCTGACATCTAAGATAAGGATTCATTGGCTGCAGTTGCACTAATAAGTAAGGCAGTCTGGATTCCCTAAACATCAAGAAGTATCTCCTCACTGGAACAGAAAGAGAAAATATCCAGGTGCCAGGACAGTTGGCATCCTTGAAGCCTCTCTTCCTGGCGTGCAGGTGGCTGTCTTCACCCCTTGTCCTCAGATCTTCCTTTGTGTGTTTGTGTCCTGATTTCTTCTTATGAGAACAGCAGAAATATTGGTTTAGAGCCCACTCTATTGACCACATTTTACCTTAATGACCTCTTTTAAAACTCCGTCTTCAAATACAGTCATAACCCAAGGGATTGCAGTGAGAACTACAGACTAAGTTTAATAAGGTGCAAGAATATCCAGTGTTTACATGTTTATATTGTGACTGTATCTGATGTTTCACAGGATCCTAGAACACGGAGAGTATTTATTTAAGCTGTTGCTCAGGTTTTTCGCTATTTCAATTATTTTCTCAGTATTTATCCCTAACTTGTCTGTCCATTTTCCTAGGAAGGTTTGCTTGGAAATGCTCAGATCCCTTCCATTCTGGACAAGAGGGCCTGTCATTTTAAGTTTGAGTTCATACTTAACAGAGTATACTGAGGGGCAGTTTTGTCAGCAGTGATTAAGAATCAACTTTCCTCAGACCCAGACACCTCACTGATGGAGGAACAGAACTGTGTATTTCATGGCATCTCTTCATCTCTTTGAACCTGCAGGGATATGGGGAAAAATGAAAACAACTAGAGGAAACACTACAAGATAAATTTTCTGATTTCTCATCTGCTAGATACTCTTTTCTCAAGCCCAGATATCCAAGAAGCCTCATTTTTCACTGTCCAGGTTCAGACAGGAAGTAATGGGACAGCATGCCCCTGATGCATGGCTATGACGGAGTTGCAAACTATGACCTTGGCGTGGAATTGTGGGTTCCAGTAGGTAACACAGTCTTAGACTCTGCCACAATTTTCTACATATTTCACGTCCACGTGGAGGGAAGCAGCCTTTTGTGGACAATCTTTGGGAACTGATCACTTTTTATAATGAGGCCTCTGAGCATACACCGCCACTGAGTTCCAAGTGGCTCACTGGAACAATGTTTCTCAACAGAAAAGTGTAAAGTAAATCTGAGACAACTGGCACTCTCGTCAAAGGGTGGTTGCAGCAGGTACTGGTTCTTTTCCTTTAGTTCTTTTATGCCTTTAGTCAAAAGAGAATAATTATTAATTTGACAGAACGTTCTTTAAACAGATTATTTCAGGATTATTCTCTTTAATCCAGTGAATACCATGTTGGAGTTTGAGGCATTATTTTTTCTAATATTAAACTGGAATCTCCTGTATTTAACTTCTCATATACTGTGTATGTGATGGTTTGAATATGTATGGCTCCTGTAGGTTCATGTGTGTGAATGCTTGGCCCATAAGGAGTAGCATTATTAGTAGGTGTGACTTTGTTGGAGGAAGTGTGTCACTGTGGAGGCAGGCTTTTGTGGTCTTATATATGTTCAAGCTACATCCAGTGACACAGTGGCTTCTGCTGCCTGCAGATCAAGATGTGGAACTCTCAGCTCCTTCTCCAGAACTATGTCTGCCTGCATGCTATCATGATGATAAAGGACTAAACTTCTGAAGCTGAAAGCCAGCCCCAATTAAATGTTTTCCTGTGGTCATGGTGTCTCTTCACAATAGAAACTCTAAGACAGAAGTTGGTACCAGGGATTGAGTATAGGTTTCACCGTGCTATTGTTCAGAGGAATGTGTACTTTTGTAGTTTGAATTAGAAAATCAGTTGAATGCTTTCAGTGGGGCTTAATAGTAGGAGACTGGAAGACAGTGGTGAGAGTGATTTGAATTGTGGGAGCCTGGCTCGAGAGATTTCAAAGGAGAAGGCATGTTGCCTAGAGAGCTTTGCTGTCATACTTTGGTGAAGTATGTGGCTGCTTTTGACCTTGTCCAAAAAGAATCTGCCCAATGATGAAGTGAAGAGTCTGGGATTAATTGTATTGGCAGAGGAAATCTCAATACAGCATGGTATGGACTTTGTTGTGTGGTTGCTAGTGTTGACACTCACGAAATTGATAGCATAGAAGCAAGCTAAACAAGGAAAAACACAAGGTTGACAGATTGAAAAGGAGCACCAGGAAATCGAATGGAGCAAAACCCTACGTTCAATAACATAACCAGATTAAGAAAAGGAATAGCCAGGCATCGGTAGTGCAAGCCTTTAATCCCAGCACTCGGGAGGCAGAGGCAGGTAGATCTCTGTGAGTTCAAGGCCAGCCTGGTCTACAGAGCAAGCTCCAGGACAGCCTCCAAAACAATACAGAGAAACCCTGTCTCAAAAAGCCAAAAAGAAAGAAAAAGATAAGGAAGAAAAGGAATGATGACCTCAGGGCAAGCTCCCATCCAGTTAAGCTTCCAACTTGTGACAAGGAGTTAAAAAAAACAGTTTAGGTTTAGGTGTGGCGGTGCACACCTTTAATCCTAGTACCTAGAATGCAGGTTGGCAGATCCCTGAGTTTTAGGCCAGCCTGGTCTATATACAGATCAATTTCCAGGACAGTCAAGCTTAAGCAGTAAAGAAACCATGGAAAACAGAAAGTTGGTAAAGTTGTAATTGAACAAAGGGGCTATGCTATGTTCCAGTCCCAGCAAGAAGCAGAACTTGCCAGTTTTGGCTACATTGTTCTGGCTTTAGAGTCAAGGATAGAAGAAAGAGATTATGGAATCCATCTCTGAGACTAAAGAAAGACACTGAGGTTAGGTGGCAGGGGTGTCCCATCATGGAAGCATAGAGAGGCCACTGTGTTGAGCTATGAAGGTGAGACCTGAATTGCCTTGGAGACCCAAAGATGTGGAGGTGCCAGAGCCATGGACTAAAGCTCTGAAACTGTAAGCCATTCCCAGTTAAATGTTTTCCTTTATAAGAGTTGCTGTGGTCATGGTGTCTCTTCACAGCAGTAGAAACCTTAACTAAGATTCTTTGTGTGTGTGTGTGTGTGTGTGTGTGTGTGTGTGTGTGTGTGGCACACTTGCAGCAGAGAATGTAGGAAGTTAGAGGGCCATCTAAAATGCTGGTTCTTACCTTCTATATTTCTTTTCTCCCCTTAGTTTTCACTATTGAATATGCCAGACTAATTGACCCATGGACTTTGTCAATCTCTGCCTCCCATCACATGTGTGAGCATTGGAATCGCAGGCATGTGCTACCACACTTGGAATTCAAACTTGGATTGTTATGCTTGTACAACAAGTACTTTACCCACTGAGTCCTCTCTGAGCCCATGATTCCTGGGGCATTTTAATTATTATTTTCTTAGGAGCTCTCTTCCTCTTTCTCAGTCTGGTAGCTGCATTTTAGAAGTTTAAGTGTGAAATAGCCCATTTCCTCCTCCATAATTCATTGCTTCAGTATGTCTAAGGAGCACTGGCTAAGTGTGTGCAGCTAATTTTTTTAATAAGCAATGTTTCTTTTTGTTGCAAATGAGACAAAACCTCAAATGAATGACCTTAAAAAAGAAGGGACGTTCATTATTATACACAATGAGATGTGTCAGATTAACGTGGCTGCAGGAATGAGATAACAGTAGTTTAGTGGTGACCACAGAACCCAGGTTCTCTCCAACAAATCTGATACAACTGTGGGATCCCCAGGATTACTGCCCCAATGTCTCTGGGAAGATAATGCCCAGACAAAGGGGGCTTTGTCACCTGGAATGAAGGAGGGAGGGCCTGGGGATGGAAACAACTGTCCTAAAGTAGGTTTAGTTAGAAATGTAAGTCTGAAATTTCTTTTCCATGAAGTAAATGCATGACTTTTAAATCCATGTGCAGATTTTATGACATCTCTTCTAATCATTAGACAGTATTTATTAATTCTGATTCTAGCCTTTCTTTCTGGCAAAGTGATTAAAATAGCTATAGACATGATAAAAATCTGATATA